ATGCGTGCATAATTGAGTAAAAATGACTTCGTCTCTTCTGGAGAGGCCCGAAGGATTTCGTGGTCCCAGTTTGGGTTTAATATTGTGAAGTTTGTTATTTGTTTTTTCCAATGGCTCTCCCACAGATATGCTGGGTAAAAAAATTCAAATTTAGATTCACGTCAGTGATGGATGAAGATCGTGAAGGGAGCCCATCCTTTGTAGTAACTGAAGAGAATGTATCCATAGTGAAGAAACTGGCTTTACAAGACCGACGTATAACCGTTAAACAGCTCTCAAGTGAAACGGGAATCAGTGTAGGGTCAATTGAAACGATTTTCCATGATAATCTTAACATGAATTAGGTGTCTGCGCGGTGGGTACCCTGTCTTTTGACAAGTGAGCAAAAGAAGCAGAGGGTTAAGTTCTGCTAAACTCTCCATTGAATCGGGCCCAATGACACAAATTTCTTTAAAAAACATGGTGACTACGGATAAAACAGAGATTTATCATTTTGATCCAGAACAAAAAATGTCCTTCATGCAATGGAAAACCCCTTCTCCTCCCTCAACAAAGAAAACAAAAGTAGCACCATCAAGAGGAAAGGTCATGCTGTCGTGTTTCAGGGAAGGTATCATCAGAGAGGTATCATCATGACTGATTACCTGGAAAATGAAAAAACAGTCACAAGGGACTACTATTCGGGTTTGCAGATTAAATTGCGGTCCGAATTGGTGAGAAAAAGGAGTGGAAAACTCCGTAATGGGGTCCTCCTACTGCATGACAACGCCTCGGCGCACAGGGCACACAAACAGTCCAGTCAGACAGCAGAACAGTGCGGCTTTGAAATCCTGCCACACCCAGCTTCTTCACCAGACCTAGCCCCTTCAGACTTTTATCTGTTTCTTAATCTTTAAAAAATCACTGAAAGGACGTCGTTTTTATGACAACGAGGACGCCTCTGAAGTTGTGGAAGACTGCTTAAGGAGCCCATTCTGGGCCACTTTTTCTCAAGGACTTTTGAAGGCCAAAGAGAGGGC